TCAGTTATAGAAAAGGTGATACTAATTTCACTGTGTGGAGAAGTTACAGCTCTAGGAACATGAAACAATGATAGAAATTCTGAAATTTCCTTTTCATTGCCAGGAATGTAGATGAGTTAATATACAAACACAAATACTCTAATCAAACACATATATTAATTACCTCAGGAAGAGAGAATAGGCAAAAAACACTTTGGTTGTGTATTTAAACATTGTCTTTAATCAAAACATAAGAAATCCTGACATACTGTCACTACAATACTCTCTAAAGTTAACTCTATTTCTACATCTCTATTATTAAAATGAGGTAAAATGTATCTTGATCTGCATGACAACTCTGACAATATTCAGCAAATCAAAAGTCTTGTTGTTCAATAATGACTATGCTAATTTCACTGATTTTTTTAGTACACAATATAATGGATAACATTCTTTAGCTAAGATTAAGATAGGACAAATAGTCACAGAGTACCATACAGTTTTCAGAAACAGTAGAGTTGATATGTAAGAAATACTTAAGTGGCAGGGTCCCCTACTTAAAATCACAAGCAGGTTTTTAATAATACATATTTTAAACACACTGAAATTTACTGAAATTCTAAGATTGTAAAAACATATATATCCCCCCCCCTCCCCCAAAAAAAAACAAAAAAAAAACACCCAAAAAAACCAAACCAGAGATACAGCTAGTTGAACAGAAATTTTACTTACTTAAGAAAGTATCTCTGTCCAGATGGTGTCTTAGCCATCTCCCAACCTGGTGGCAAAGGTACATCATCAGGGATCTCAAAAGAAGACTGGCGCAGGTGCTGAGAAGATGGAGCTCCAGGTCCAGTCACTACTCCAGAGGGTGTAAGTGTCCCTGGAGAAACAGCTCCCAGCTGCAGTGACGCTGGAGAGGAATGAGCTCGGACATGCTGTGGGGTCAGGGCTCCTGCTGTCCCGGCGTCAGTGCTGGCCTGCCAGGAGTGAAATGATTTTTATTATGATTCCCATATTTCAGTAGAAATGCAACTGCCAGAAGACATTTCACTTTAAATTAACATTTCAGGAGAAATTCATAGCTCAGTTGTTCTAAAGTTCTGCTTATTTTCTAGTTACTGTTCAAGCAAGCCTCCATGTAGTTTGGTTAATTAGCATCACAAAAGCCCTCGTGCAAGTCAAGAAATATTAACTGTATGTGTTGAGAGCCCTTAAGTTTTATTTTGAAAACTAAAGTTCCTACTCCTCACCACAGGGTTAAGAACAAACCTGCCTGCAGTCAGCAGATCTCATCCAGTGCATTGAATGATTTGTTACTGGACTGCACCCACTCACTACTATCACACCCACTTTCTGCTGGAGGAGTTAATTTCCCACTCTCCTTTTCAAGTGCGGGTGTGGGGATTCAAGTATATGCACACACCACACCATTTCCCCCACCCCCGTAGGGATTTAAAAGATCACACAAAGAGAAAAGCAATAGTGAAATACAAACTGGCAGCAGTGAGTTCCAATGAAGACGTATTAATTCAACCATTACAAAAAACCTAAACAAGAAGACTGAATGTAACATTTCCTAATAACTCAAACTTTTATGTCAAGCTTTTACAGTCCGTCCATGCTTTATCCAAAGCAAAGCTTCAGCAAAGGGTTGAACCAGTCAATCAAAAATGACCCACAAACCCATTCACAGGAGTCACCACTCATAAATATACAGAAAGTCCTGGCCAGTACTAAATATATGCCCAACATGGAACAGAAAAGGTAGCTCTAAAAAACTGGTTAAAGTAAAATTGGCTTTTAAAAATATATTTACCAATTAACTGGTTTTATAGACAGACCAGAACAACATTGACACCTATAACGAGATGCAGGTACCAATCCCTGTCACACCTCTCTACAAGGTATTGCACCATAAGAGGACCCACTTACACACTTACACTTCTGCTTCACTCCCTCACACTTCATGTGTGCAAGCACATGAAGTTCCATGTGTTCAAATGGAAACAAATAAGTTTTCACTTATATGCAGACAAAAGAAGCAAGTAGTAAATCAAGTGGTTTTATAACATTTTAACTCCTGAGAATCACAGAATTATAGAAAATAGAGATCTTTTCTTTAAGCAGAATGTTTATGTGGAACAACTAAACAAAAAAGAAAAATGAAAATAGTCCACAATGCAGCAAATTATTCTCTCTTGCTTTAGCTGGATTTCAAGTTTATGTTTTAGGAACCACTGAGTGATACTAGAAACAGAGATCGAACTAAATATGATTTACAGGCAAAGATTAACATACACAAGGAATATAAGACTAAGCCTAAAAGTACAACCGAAAGTTGTATGACCATCACACACTTTTAGAGCATCTCAAACATGTTAGCTATTTAACTGCAGTTAATGTATTTAACAAGACACAGCACCAAGTGTTAGACAATGTCTACCCATTCAGATTTGTACACAATGGAACCGCAATGAGATTTGCACAAGTTGGGAGAACACTATACATAAACCCTTATTCCTTGCTGGATTTCAGGACATTATTAAAGGCCTGCAACTCAAAAGCTAGCAAAACTACAGAAGCAGATCAGCTCCACCCCTTCCAATTTCTTTTCAGTCTTCCTATATGAAGACCAGACTGCTTTTTTTGAGTATTTGGAAAATGAATTAACTCCTAGGCTGTGAGAGTACGTGCCAAGGTTCAGCCTGGAATGAACTTCTGAAGTCAAGCTATAAATCGTTCAAAACAGAAATTTAATAATGGAAATGTTGACAGACCCTTAACAACACGGGTAACAGGCACCAGTACACAGCGAGTTTCACCCTTACTGGCTACATAGATAACGTGACAATAGCCAGTAATGCAACTTATTTTATAGCTTAGTAACTAAGTTCATTACTTAATAACACTTGACTAGGCAGGCACAGTCTCCATCCAAAACGTTGGTTAACAGCAGTAGCTTTCGCTCGTATTCACACCAGCACTTAGCTTTTAGTACAAAAATCCCTCTGCTTAAACACCAAACGCTGCCGGAGGCCAGACAGACCCTGCCCCGCATACCCCACCCCGCTCCTCCCCGGCCCTGCCCCCGCATCGCCCCTTCCCCCCGGCCCTGTCCCGCCCCCTTCCCAGCCCTGCCCCGCATCCCTCCCCCGCTCCCTGCGCGGCCCTGCCCCGCATCGCTCCCTCCCCCGGGCCGGCACGGCCGAGGCCCCACGGCTGCGAGCCCCGGCCCCAGGCTGCAGCCGCCGCTGCCCTGGGTGCGGGCGCTGCGCCCGGCGGACCCTGGACGCCGGCAGACCTGGCGTCTGGTTCGGGAATTAACTTCGGATGTGCGTGCGTGTATATGTGGGGAGGTTAATCCTACTCAAACCAGCGCCGTGCTGAAATGGTGGAAAGTCACAACCATATTTACTGTCTGACGGGGCGGGGGGGTGTAGGTTTGGCACCACTTCATCGACCCCTTCTACAGAGGGCAGGGAATTGGACCGCAAAGCGGCATTCCAAGCGAAGCGTTTGCACCCAAGTTTTAGGGGCTCACCCCCACCGTCGCCCTCCCGGCGAGGCCGAGATGGCCAAGGAGCGGATGTGAGTTCGGGGCCCCGTGGGAGACCGGGACGGGGCCGGCTCTCGCCCGCCCTCCCGCCGCGGTCCCGGCCCCGTCGGCGTCTCGGGGGGCGGGAGGCGGCCCTGCCCCAGGGGAAGAACAAATAAAGGGGTGTGGGGGCGGCAGAGAGCGCCCCGACAGCCCCAGCCGGGCGCCCCCCGCCCCGCTCGGCCCCGTGGATTCCCGCCCCGGCCCCCTCCCCCACACGCCTCCCCCGGGAGGAGCTCGGCGGCGGGGAGGGGGAACTCGGCCCGGCCGGGCTGCCCCCGCCCGCCCGCGGCGCGGGCCCCTTCCCTCCCTCCCCCTCACCTGGCGGGAGTGGGCCTTGGGCTCGGGTGGCTTGAAGAAGGAGTCGGGCAGTTTCCGCAGTCGCATGGGCAGCGTGTGTGGCACGTTGGCGCCCTTGGGGTTCATCACGGCGTTGAACAGCGCCTCCAAGTCGGTCTCCGAGTCGCCCCGCACATGGACGATCTGGTGCCCCGCCGGAGGGGGCCCAGCACCCGGGGGCTGCGCCGCGCCGGCCGGGGCCCCCGACACCGGGCCAGGGGGCTGCGGCGGCGGCTGCTGCTGCTGCGGGGCCGGGGGCTGCGCCGCCTGCGGCGGCTGCTGCGTTTGAGGCTGCCCAGGATCCATGGCTCCGTCGGGACCCCCCGGCGCTTCCCTGGCGGGGCTCGGTGGCTCAGAGCCCGGATTCCCCGTCCCGCATGCCCCGCTCCCCGGGCCGCGGGCTCGTCCTGCTGTCGCCGGTGCCTCTCACCCCTCGGTCGGGAAGCCGACCCGCCCGCGGCAACTGGCAAAACAACTCCGGCCGTGCGGCGCTTCCCCGAGCCCGGCCCAGCCCGGCCGGCGCCTCTGTCCCGGCGGCGGAAACTAACTCACACAACACACCAAACAAAAGTTCGCAGTTACGCCCGCCCGAATCACTCTCCGCCGCCGGCTCCGCCCCTCCTGAGCCCGCCCGCACCGTATCCGAGCGAGGGAGCCCGTGCTCGCAGCGCTGCTGCGCGCGCCCGCCCGCACCGCCTCCCGCCCGGGGCGCTGCGCGGCCCCCCCGGACCCGCTCCGCGCCCGCCCCGGCCCGGCGGCTCCGCACCGGCCCGCGCTCCGCGCCCGCCCGCGCCTCTCCCGCCCGCCGCCCGCCCGCCTGCTGCCGCCAACCAGAACTTTTTTTTCTCCCGAACTTCTATCCCAACTTCCAGGAGGCCGCTTCGCGAGGGGGTTGGGAGGGGCAGCCGCGCTTCCCTGCCACCGGCCCGGAGGGGCCATCGAGCCGGGACCCCTCCCGCCAGTCCTCTCCGCGCTTTCTGCCGCTGAGCTTTCGGTTCCGCTGAGCTTTCACCGATTGCAGAGTCTCCCCTGCAGATATGCGTCGCGGGTCTGTAAAGCAGGCTCATAAAAATGACGAGACCTCTAGAGAAATACATTTTATTAAATAACACGGGTGAGGGAAGGGGGGAAACGGCCAAGAAACAGCTTCAAGAACTATAAATACCTGAAAACTACTGTCATTAACCACACAGTAACATTTGAGTGAATGAGAAGCACTTCTGAGCACAGTCATCAAGGAGTAGAGCTTTCCTCGTCAGAAAACTGCAATGTCTACCTGAACCCAACAGAAAGAAGGCAATCTCCATTATAAAACTGGGCACCAGCCAGGTTTATAACTAGTTTGTAAATAGGCTTTCACCGAAACAGTGATACAAAATATTCACGTGTCGCTTGCAGGGATCCACAATCAAGTAGGCAAAAGTCTGTCCGTGGCTTTTGCTTGAAGGGTAACACAGGCCATTAACATCCTGAGAGGAAGAAAAAAACCAAAACAGTATTAGGGACAACAGAGATATCTGTAAGAGAATTAATAAAAGCTGAAGTTAATAATTTTGTTCCAGTTGTAACTGTTCATTGCACAGCAAAATAAAACAAATACACCGCAGTTTATTTAAATGGTATATGTCCCCATGAGGATCCCAACACTACAAAATGCACAATAATTCTGACTGGATGTATCAAATAACCTTGAGGTAAATGTAATATTTATATAAAATGTAAAACATACAAGCATGCGTTTACACAATTATAGCCTAAAATACAAATGATTAACTATACAACAGCTCATCATGTTTCCTTTGAAAGAGAAAAATAATCACTCTATATTAGTACATAAAGCTATACTATCCGCTGTTATGTTTTTCACTTAACATTTGCTAATGCATCTGTTCAGGTTCCAATATTTGCATTTAAGCAAAACGCTTATTACAGATCACATTAACAACTTTGGACTATTATTGGAAACATTCTGTGTGCCAGTCCTCAGAAAGGGTTTGAAGGGATTCTAGACACCTAGCTGCAAAATCCTCGTTCTGAAAAAAATACATTCAGCTGATAATCTGCAGGGGAATTGGGTTCTTCACATTAACATCCTACGTCTGCACATGTCAATAAAAGCTTCAGTGTTGACAGAGCAACACAGCTGGACACACTTCAAATCCAGTAGGGATCCAAAAACTAGACGGAGGGATTTTTAAAGCATTGGGGTTTTTTATTTAGGTAGTGTGGTAATTGAACATATGAAAGATCAATAAATATATAGCTGACATTTCCCTTCTTTTAAAACATGTAACAGTTTCCTCCTGCTCCCCAACACCTTTGTACAATAGTTGAAGAGATGTGGATTCTGTTACACTTTTCCTGCTTGAGGGAAATTGCTACATTGCATATATTGTTCATTTTCTCCAGGAAAATGTTAAACTCACAGACTACAGACTATTCCAGATTTCACATCTTTTCATTTTTCTGTTGAAGCTGTCTTTCTTTGCATGAAAGGAAGACAGCTTTTTTTGGACCAAAAAAACATGAAAAGTGTAACCTCTCTCAGTGGTTAAGTCAGTCAGCTGAGAAGGAAAAGAGCTGGGTCCCCATTTCTGCACCAAGGACCAATTATGAATTTTATTCTTTAGCTGTTACTGGCACCCCATATTCTCCTGCTATTTTGAAGAGAATTAATCCATTATTAGATGTTCTGGGGGGATGTTTTGTTATTAGATGTTTTGGGGGATTATTCAAATCCTAAATCTTAAATTAAGATAAGCACCTCATAAAACACTGTTTTAGACAGGTAAAGATTTGATGTTTATTCCCAGAATTTTCCAATGGTAGTCAAATGCCACAAGCTAGAAATAGCTTTCTATTTTTAAGTGGCACAGCATATAAGCTCCATGTAGCTCCAATTGTAGGATACCTAGCTTTCTTCAGGTGTTTTCTAAGGATACATGTATAACAAACACTGGATTCTCAACTGCAGTAAGGAGAGCAAATTTTTAAGATTTTATAGTGCTCAGCATCAAGAGGCCTTTGGAATTTGATCCAAAAATAATCTAAATTCATGCATGTAACTTAAGGAAAAAAAGTAACACAAGATCAGCATCAAGACATGATTGCCAGTTAAACTCTTTTCCCATTGGTACTGAGGATCCCACTCCTGCAGTCTGTGTGGAATTGAGGTTTTGAGGTTGTGGCAGCTGAGATTTTGACTGGGCCCACTAAAAATTTGTTCAACAACTCAAGAACAAAAACAATATAAGTTCTGGTGATGAGGCATTTCAAGCAATCACCAAACCTAGTATCAGGAAAATAGTCAATATAATCTAAGTAAATGAAAAGGTTCTTAATTTTAATGAGCAAAAGAGGTCATAAAACCCCTAAAATGCTTGAGCATAAAGGCTCTGATATTTACATTCAGGGCATGCACACAATTAAGAATCATACCAATTCCATCTGCAGTGTGGACTTTGGTTCATACATGCAGGGGTGTAATGATTGATTTACTTATGTTAAAGTAGGATTATTTTATTTTTTCTTTGTAGCAACACAGCTGATGATTTAAGAATACATATGCATAGCATAAAACAGAAATAAAAATACTGTTGAAGATTCTCAAAAACTGCATAATGTAATTAACTATTTTTAAAAATACTTCTTGAATAAACTTTGCATTATTCTGTTTTCTAACACTGCCACAGTTTGGGTTCAGGTAAAGAAAGTTCTAAAATATCAGTGAGCACTCCAATACTTAAGCTGTAAAAGTGTTTCATTATATGCAAAGCTCCAAAGTTCTCAAGGGTATTTGGAGTTCAACAGAGTACTTTGTCACAAGATCTAAAATTATTTCTCTTGTGATGCCCAGGTCTATGAGGTTTTGATGCTGAAGAGCTCTACAGACATTTGTAAGAGAGACCTCAACAAATTAGAGGGCTGGACAATGACCAACCATATGGAGTTCAACAAGAGAAAGTGCTGGATTCTGCACCTGGGATGGGGCAGCCCTGGATGTATGGGCAGACTGGGGAATGAGATGCTGCAGAGAGGGACCTGGGGGTCCTGGTCTGTGGCAAGTTGAACATGAGCCAGCAGTGCCCTGGCAGCCAGGAGGGCCAGCCCTGTCCTGGGGGGCATCAGGCACAGCATGGCCAGCCAGGCAAGGGAGGGGATTGTCCTGCTCTGCTCTGCTCTGGGGCGGCCTCACCTCCAGTGCTGGGGGCAGTTCTGGATGCCACCATATAAAAAGGACATTAAAGTATTAGAGAGTGTCCAAAGGAGGCCAATGATGATGGTGAAGGGCCTTGAGGGGAAATCGTATGAGGAGTTGCTGAGGTCACTTGCTCTGTTCAGCCTGGAGGAGACTGAGGGGAGACGTCATTGCAGTCTGCAGCTTCCTTGTGAGGGGAAGAGGAGGGACAGACACTGATCTCTGCTCTATGATGACCAGTGACAGCACCTGAGGCAACAGCACAAAGCTGAGTCAGAGCAGATTGAGGTTGGATATCAGGAAAAGGTTCTTCACCCAGAGGGTGGTTGGGCACTGGAACAGGCTCCCCAGGGAAGTGGTCACAGCACCAGCCTGACAGAGGTCATGAAGTGTTTGAGCAACACTCTCTGGAACACAGTGTGACCCCTGGGGATGGTGCTGTGCAGGGCCAGGAGTTGAACTTGAGCATCCTTGTGGGTCCCTTCTAACTCAGCATATTCTGTAATTCTGTGAACTTATTATAACTTACAACTTTGAGATATTTACATCTCTAATAGTGAGCTTTTTTAGATACTGTTTTAAAATTGTGCTCAGCTGCAAAAGTCACTTTTATGAGATCAGCTTTTTAAAATTTATTTATTTTAAAAATTATTTATCTACTTACATCAGGCTAGGAGGGTATGTCCTTTTCTTCCAGATACAAATCAAGAAAACTTGGCTTAAAAACTGTCAGAACTATAGTAACACTCTACTGTTATTTATCAAATGAACTCAGAAACTAAATCCACTGCAGAAATGTAGTTATGTCCTTGAGAGCAACTTTTCACAACAAACACAAGACATTTGTGCTCCAGTAAGTGTCCTTCTTGTAAGTGCCATATGGACTGGAGTAGTTTTGATCCACATAAATATCAAACAGTCTAGACACACTGTTTAAGCTTTTCTGTTTTCTGAGAGAAAATTCTTCAGGATGTTCTTTAATAGAAATCGTAATTTCAGAATTCTTCTTCACCCCACAAATTTTCAGAATATGCAGTAATGCCCAATTTTCCTCCACAGCTACAAGGTGCATTAACACTGGATCTTCTTTTGTCCATCTATTTTGTTTACAAAATTTGCTAATTGGTTGGGGTTTTGTTTGTTGTTTTTTTTCTTTGTAGTACTGGTGATATTTAATGTATGGCCAACACAGTTAAGGGAGCTCTTTAATGTCTATCTGCCTAAACATAGAAATCTGCAAAGTTCACATCAATGCATTTGATTTAGAGGTGTGAAAGGAACAGTAATAACAGAAGAACATCCAGTTACCAGGGTTTTGCTTTTTTATTTTTATTACAGTCTGCAGCCTAGCAGAAAGATAAATTTTGATACACCCATAAAGTGTTTATTTTCAAAAGCCTTTTATGAATCATACATGGTACTTAAAAGATGATGACCAACATATGAACAACTGGGCTATTGGCAACCTACAGGGAAGTTTGTGCAGTCTGAAATGACATCAGCTATTGCTGTTGAAAGTCAGTACATTATCTGACATTTCATTATCACATATTCTGGTTACTCAAGAAGAATTTGGAGTAGTTCATCCTACTGTAGCAACTTAAATGACAGCTATGCTGAATCTAGTAAACATGCCAGTTCTCAAACTTATCTTGATGGTAAATGTATGATTTTGCAAGGGAAACAGATAGGAATGAGACTTGACAAGGGAGAGGAAAAGAGGTTAGCAGTTATCTCACTACCCCAGCCTTTTTGTATACTAAAGTTCCTTTCAGTCTTTACAGAAACAGATGCAATACAAGCTATTCACAAAGCTCTAGCAACATTTCAAAAAACAGAACTACAGGAAGTCAAGAGTACATCCTTGATCCTTACTGTTAACTCAAGTTTTATTATTATTTATTATTAAACCCAGAATTACTCAGATTTTTTATTTTCATTAGCTAATTTCTGGGTGACTATTATGATTTCCACTGTAATCCAGTAAACCTATTTTTAGTGAGTGAGCTACCAAATAAAACTTTAGCTGCTGGTTACTAATGAAGAGTCAGTAAAGAGGATGAGAAACTGGATGAGTTCAGAGAAAGAGTTAATGAATAAAAAAGTGACAGCTATGGGAAAATAACCCATTACAATGGAATATTATATTTTCTTTGTGTAAAAGTAAATTCATTATTGTTGTGTTATATATATTACTGCCAGTAAAATCCCATACAAAAATTATTAATACTTACATATGCAGACACTCTGAAGACTGTAGAAATAATACGTATTTCTTTTGTTTCAGGGTTCTTTTGAACACTGAAATACAGGGGTATATTACATAATATATATCATAAGTAGACTCTTTAATAGACTCTATCATAAATAGGCTCTTTAATTTATTAGATACATTTTAAACATATGCACTGTATCCTTGCTCAAATTTTATGAAAGTCAAATTTATAGCTAAAATTCAACCTATGTCATATTGAACATGAGAAGTTATATGGCCACTGTTAGGTAACATGGTTATTATCATTATACTGAAAAATATTTAATATATTTAGTAATCTGACTTGGTTTCACTGTTCTCAGCTACTAAATCACAGTAATATTACCGAGACCTAGATGATTCCAAATACAGAGTTTTCATTTTCATAGATAGGAAAAATTATACAGCTAAACATTTCATAAAAATATTTTCCCATATTCTTTGAGAAAGAAACCTGCAAAGTAAAATTCATCTTAATACAGACTACAAGAAGTAGAAGCATTACTGGTGAAGAATTACATTCTTTAGCTCATTTTTATTTAGTATATAATTATAGATTAGGTTTATTTTTTCTCCTTTGGAATTTTGTATTTATAGTCAGCTATGCAACTTGGGATAGGATTAGTTCTGAGCTTTTATATTTCTAGACTGTTGTGAAGATTGCCATTTCTTCCATCGCATTTACTAATAACACTGAATATTATTGCAAAGAATAATATTCGGAGGCATCTCAACCTATTTAAAGTATTTTAATATGACATTTTTCCTGAAGTCTGCTTTAAGTGATGCTTATTTCTTCAGAAATTAGATCATGCAACTTCTTTCATTTATCTAATTTCGCAGATTCCCACTTACATTAACTCACTGTGGAACAGCTGAAGCTTAAAAGTTCCATACTTATGTGCTTCCAAGAAATGCAAAACCTGCCTTGTCACAAGTTGGTTCCTTTCCCAAGAAAGGTCCCAGTATAGACAAGTTACAAGAGGATGTGTGAAACACAGCCCAGTTGAACACCCCACCAGATCCAAGCTGTAACAGCAGTCCCCTGTTACCAGTGCTTTGGCCAAGCTTCTTTTTGTAAGAACAAAGGAACCCCAAACCAACCAACAGCACCTTTGTTGATTCAATCTCTGCAGCCAATAAAAGAGATTGACTCTCCAATTAACTGATTTCATCTGTAGACTAATGACACAGTCATGTTTGAACCTATACTGTGAGACTGATCTTCCCTGTGGTCAGTCAGTAGTGACGCTTTCTCAGAACTTTTTGTTGCGTCTGACATGTTGACATACTCAATGGTGGATGAAGACAGCACTGCTGAAATCAGGACAGACCCCAGCTGAGTGGCTTCCCACCCCTCCAGAGATGACTGCCTTCCCAGCAGGACAGCTCAGCTACCTCATGACTCAGCTTCTGAACCACTGCAGTTTATAGACTAGTGCATTAAGCCAAACTAAGATGTCACTTTATGCTGACACACCAGGCTGTAACTGCAGCAGTTCAGAAACTCTTCAACCATCTCTGTGGAAAGGGTGACAACTGTCAGAACATGACGTAGAGGATTAGTGGCATTATGGCCTTCTACCATGTATCACCACCACCAAAAGCAACAGTTGTATTTAAGTTACTCTGGCTTCAGATTCTTTTGTCAGAAAACTCTGTTATCAATTTCTGGTTTCTTAATTTTCATGTTATATACATATATATATATATATATATATATCTAGGATATGAAAGTAAGAGTTGACAAAGTCTTCCTATTTATTCTATGACCTTGAGAAATTTTCCCCTTGTGGTTAGCTTCCTGTAAGTAATTTTTCAAAATGTTTATTTTCAGTACCTTGGTTATTTTTAAGGCAAAAAATTGTGTTTGTTAAAATCAGATGAGATTCTTCCTTTGCTGACTTGAAAGAAAAGGAGGTTGCCTTTGACAAGCTCATTTGCTCTATTTATTATTTTCCCTCTGAAAGCTTTTAGAAAAAAACTATCTTGTCCTTTTGGAGAGGATAGTATTTCCTTAAAAATAATGTTAATAGCCCCATGTTCTTTCAAATTATTAACTTCTAAACTATTCATTGAATATGGTAGTTCATCATTTTAATGTGCATCTATTCTCTTTATATGAAGAGCAAACATCCTCATGGTTTCTCTATTGACTATAGGCTTTATTTATATACTAACCTTACTGGCAATATTTTACTAGGCTTTCCAAACAATAAAACAACAACTTAATGCCTTCACATACATTCATTCATTTTGTGGAAAAGGGCATGGAGATGGAAATAAGAAAGGAGAAGAAAATAATTACTACAAGATGCTACAGCAGCTGTCACCATGGAGAAACACTGCCAGAAAAATCAGGGGTTTAAGTACAGAGGACCAGATTTATCAACAGAGATTCATAGATTATATTTTAATTAACAATTTTATGTTATGTAAATATTTAATTTAAATCAAAATACTACAAGGTATAGGGATTTGAAATTATTTAGGTTATACGGGATGAAACACTAAACACTAGAATTTTGGATGGATTCATCTGATGACAGACTCATTACTGATGGGTAACAGACTACAAGTTGTGCATTAAATTTTTAGTAAGAATACATCACTCTTTTTGCAAAGAGAAAAATATCTGCCACTTCGTAGCTGTATTTGGAAGTCCCTAGCTTGTAAAATATCTAGAGCTGTTAATTTCAAAAAAATTATTGCATTCTCTCATAATAAAGCAATGCACATAAAAATGCTTTAATAAAATGAAACCTCAAAACTTTTGACACTATTTTGAATGCTAGTGCCTTGGAGTTAGAACTCCAGGTATGACCAGAAAAAAAAAAGCTGTAATAAAGGTAAACAGGGAAAAGCTCATTAACAGGTCTGCTGCTCCCAGCAGTAAAGGCGCTTCTGTGAAGCTCTTCATGCCAAGGCTCTTGCCCATACAGAATACAGTAACAGGACTAAACAGTGGCAGTTTATACATCCATAACTGTTATTAGACTGAATTCATTTGTGGCAGCTGATTTTCCATGCACATCATCAGCCAGCAGCTAATAATTATTGAAGTATCAATTTGGTTTTTTACCAAGCCTTCTGATCATCAAACATAAAAATTAAACCTTAAGGACAGTACAGTTTACAGAATTTTTAAAACCATGAAAAGCTTTTAATATCACTTTACAAAGAGTAGAAAGTGTCCAATGCAACTGTAATCCAAGATACAATGAAAACACACAGAGGACAGCAGTCTAAAAAAAGAATTTGAACAAAACCTGGTATTCAATAGGAATTTGAGGGTGAACTTTTTGGTAAACAGAATTTAAGAGATTACTACTAACATCAGCAATCTTTTACTGAAAATAAGAGTCTAAGAAAGTAATTACTAATTACTAAGAAAGTAATTTTAATTGCTTTATTTTCAGCTGTAATTTGTGCAAGAATGAAGTAATACAATGCCCAGAAATTAGAAATTAAGTCAAGACTGTCATTAGTGTCCCTATTCAGAGCCTCTCACTGTCTTTTTCTTTCTTAACACAGTGGAAATAAAACAGAAGCATCATTTTGGATAAACTGGGAGCAAGGGGAAATGAGACCAAGAAAAAGACAACTGTGATTCTGAAGGGGGAGAAAAGGCCTGAAATGTCAAGATCAAAAGCTGTTCTCATGGGACTGACAAAGAACTCAATACCAAAAGAGAAAGATAAAAGATTCAGTGAAATGCTAAGTTTTGTTTTCAGCTGGTAACCAGTGCTAACACCAGCTCTTCTGGCAGTGAGAAACTAGCAGACATTTACAGGCAACAGAGAGACACATGGTAGACAAATTCTGAAGATCACTTACAAGGTCACTTCAAAACTTGGGAGGATAGAAAGCAATCTGCCAACTGGCAAAAAAACCCCAAAAACGAAAAAACAAACAGCACAGGAATAGATCTTGAAATATTTTCTCCTAAATATATTTAGAGGATAGAAGCACCACACAAGAGGAAAATACAAAGGGCTAATAGGAAACAGGTTGAGGATACAGAAATGGTAAACTTTGAAAGCAGGATGAAATTGTGGGAGGATCTTGGCAGAGACTTTTTTTTTCTGTTTTAAGTCATAAGAACTATTTGACATCCTTATCAAATTTTACAGCATGAAAAGGAAAAAGAATGGAAAGAGGTTTAATGAGATAGGAAGGTAAAGAAAATTAGTGGCCTAGAACAGAACTTGAACACGTTTTGGATAAAACAACTCAACAGCAAAGGGGAGCAGTAAAGTGAAGGAACTGATTGGATTTGCACATTGTCCTAGATTAATTCAACAACAGAAAAGCAGAAACAGATGCAGTCAATGTAGAGTCACCTATGGCCCAGGACTGAAGGAACATGCAGCTTGATTCAAGTGCAGAATGAACAATGTAAAAGAAAAGCGAGGGTAGAGTTAAGCTTTGATGGATCCTTTTATGTCAGATGCTGTATTTCTGAAGAACTCACTTGATTCTCATCTATGTATGAGATGAAAATACCAAAACTACTCATACTAACAAAAATTTTAGTAGTATATTTTACAATCTTTATATTCCCATCAGCTTAACTAAGAATGAGTCTGTATACCCAATAACCACATTCCATTTCCCAACAACCAGAACATAAGAAGTTTTGTCAATCAGAGAAGTCAGTTTTTGGATATATCAAAGCAGGGTGAAAATTGTGGTTTTAGTATGAATCTAAACCTCTGATCAATTACCTCTAACCTCAGTGGAAAAAAAAACCCTCACATAAAGTTTCAAACTATTTCATACACTAAACCTGGGAAAACAAATGTGTGTTAGTTCACTATGTCATGTTAACAGCAGGATCCTATCACCATTAGCTGTACACTGTGAGAAGTGTACTTGCAGAACTAGGAAGACCAAAATTGAACTGTATTAAAAAAAAATCAGCAGGGATAAATGATATATGGAACTGGAAGTTTCAACTAATTATTTCAATTTTTAAATCCTAAATTAAAAGCAGTCCAATTGAAAGTAGCCCAAGATCATATAGGCATGACTTAACTGTTGATATTTTATCAATGACAGTAGGAAGACAGTCTGTTTCCAGTACTATGCCATGTTTTCGGCAGACAGTCACAGAAAAAAGTATCTTTAAATTCGGAATGAATTACAAACAATCCATAACTGTAATATAAAAATGTTCTTATGTCAGACTGATGCAATTAAAATAGCATCTATTTTACCACTGAACTACTACAAATTGTTCCATTTGATAGCTGGACACAAATAAACTTGCAGGTGGATTAAATAACAGCCCCATTTTTGAAGCAGTAATGTACAATAAATTTATACAAATCAATACAAAGTATCTGTGTACATGTACACAGCTGTACAACAAGCAAGTAACACTTACCTCACCAAGTCTTTATAAAAAGCTTTTGTAGTTTCTAAGTATGGGTCAACTACATCTTCAAACTGGCAAAGAGTTCCTCCAATGCAAAAATGCTTAAAAAGACAGAACAGAAATTCTTCACGATCCAATTGAGTAAATAAATCATAATGGTCAGAATCCTCCAGAAGCAAAACCTTGTGGAATAAGGAAAAAACAAGGAAGTCAAATTGATAAAAATTTATTTAAGATTCAGTTTATAAATAATGTAGCTAGTATGCTGTATAGTACACAGAAATTATGTCCATGTAAAATACATGGATGAGGGATGGAAATACATATTTCTAAATTCTTCTTCAAATGATGCAATCAGGTTCAAAATTCTTACATATAAAGCAGAATCACTGTCAGATTTATGCCCAAAAGACATAAAGGAATATTTTTAAAGCCTTGTTATTTCACTGGTTAATTATCTGTCATGCTAGTGAAACAAGCAATCTGAAAATTATCTACCTATATTTGATATGTCAATTGCTGTTAATCAATGGGGTAACTGTTTTTGGCAACATTTGCTTTTTCACTTTTAAATTGACACAGTTATTTCATATTTGTAAAGGAATTCTAGGATCTCCCAGAGATCACTCAAACTCCCATCATTCTTTATTACAGACTCCAGTGAGCCCTGATCTGTAGCCTGGATCAGCCATACATGCACCCAGCTGCCTCCATGCATGTCACCTGCCTTTGGCTGAGATATGTGAACACAGAGGACTTGCTAGATTAGTGTCAACATTGCTTCATGTAAATGTGGACAGGAATTGTAACTCACAATGGCTACAAGACATTCGAGTCATGTCAGCCAAAATGCAGATGCCAGCCCAGGCAAACTGGTCAAAGTTAGCCATAAATCCACTGCTCTCTGGCCCTCTTCATAACAAAACTACAAAACCTGAGTAAAAAGGGGTCGGGGCAACAGCTGTTCTGGATGGCCACCTCATGCATATCCCAACCTCCCTGGCTGAAACAAGAGAAGACATGGCAGGTAGGAAAGAAACATGGAGTCTTGCAGCCAAAGGCCACTCTCTGACACCAGGAGACAGTTTGGTGCCCCCTACAGTCTTCTGTTCTAGATCCCTGACTAAATAATTTGAAATTTTGATATAATTCCTGGATTTTGACTTATTCTTTCTGATGTCTTAGGTCTTAGGAGTAGGAATCACCTTTGTTTCAAACCAATGTTGAACCCTCAACTTGAAAATGCTGACACACAAATCACTTCCATGGGAAGGAAACTGGGAAGACACTGAAACACCAATAATTTCTAATTTTAAATGTTGCCTCTAACCTTCCTATATAAAATGCATTTAATTTTTAGAAAACATTTCACATGTACCCAACTTATAAATAAATACAAAGTATTTTGAACTGCTAGGCTACAAACTACATCTGAAAATCAAACATGAGCTTGAGTTCTCACCTTTTCCCAGAACTTTACAAGACAGACCAGTATTTCAGGCCACATCCTGTAACCAGTGTCACTGGTTCTAATACATTGCCTTCAAAGGATTTGCCAAGTGCAAATGAGTGCAACGCTATAATTATTTAGTACTTATGTTGATTATATATACAAGGAAGAGCAAAATCCAGTTCTCCCACACTATACTTTGCTAATGCTACACAAACATAAGTTTAAAAAATGGTTTTAGCTTATGAAGTCAAAAGAAACACAGTAAAGACATACATTGATTAAAAGGGTGCCACTGTTAGAGATTCTTTTCCAGATAATCTGCTTTCTGACACTTCCACTAGAGTATAACAAATAGTTTTACATTGCAGACCTGTTCAGGAGTTGTATTTAGTAATTTTCCAGTATTATACTGAAAAATAATTTCCTCTTCCATAGCTCCTCTTGCTCTCAAGAAAATGTATTAAGATGGCTTTCTTTTCTTTATCTAATGCCTTCAGATATTATATGATCAGCATTCCTGTTCAGGAATGCTTCAGGATGTAGCTATCAAATACATTCAGTTTCATCCACTACCTGAAAGGCTGGGTGAACCTACAGCTCTGAGTATGACAGCACCACTCGCTGGCATCCTCCTAAGCAAACAAGCAGCTGCATTTCCCCCACACACCCCCAGCACTAACTGCTTGAAACATAGGTGGGTAGAAGAAGGCTTAACCTTTTTTCTCCCACCTAAAAATGAAAGAAGGCTCACCTGGAAAACAAGTAATTGCTTTCACATATTCAGGCACTGCAGTGCCTCAACTTGGTGAGGTAAGTTGTTTGTAAACCATGGCTATTTCTGACAGTTTTTTACCACTGTCAGAAAAAAAGCAACCTGAAAAACGTGTCCTTATAGTACCTAATAGAGTAGGGAAAATGATAATAAATGATTAATTACTATACTGACCTTCCTTAATTCATCAGAGATAAGAATATCATCGTAATAATCATCATAACATTTCACAATAGTGCCAGCTTCTCTAACAATTCCTTCAGAGTACAGCCGATCAAAAAATGACATGGAAATCTGTGTACAGGGTACCACTGTAGCGTCAATTTTTGTCACTTTGGAACCTGGAAGATATAGGAAGCTGGTTCTGTGTTTCATGTTTTTAAAAAAAAACACAAATCATGTAAGCATGACTCAGTCACACAGTCACTCAAAGTAAAAAAAAAAAAAAGCCAAAGAAAGCAAAGAAGGAAACAAGCAAACAAGCGCAAAGAAAACATTAAATTCATCTGACTATTACTTTCCATTAAGGCTCATGTGTCTGCTCCCCCTGTTGGTAAATACCATCAACCGAAACTAGGGATAGATGGAACACCGTGTGAACCCAGCATCGCATTAGATCACACCCTCAGAAAATCATATTCCACAGGTTAAGCCTTAAAGCATCTCAGGACATATGCCAAAAGTGGCATGATGAAGTATGGAAGTCAATAGCTGCTAACAGCACTCCACAAATTAAAAACCAAAATTAACACGGCCTCAAAGAATTTTTGAATTGTTAAGTATTATATTGAATTTTAAAAAAGCTCTTTTGTAGCCACTGTAAGCTTTATTAACCAGTCATTTCAGAAGATGAAAAAAGTACTATCAGCACTTCCTGTATGAATCTGGAGTATCACAGTATTTATTGTCAATCATTAAATGCAGAATATATATTTCTGTAATTTTTTCCCCTTTGCTTGCAGATCATCCAAGCCTGGATCCTGTTGCTCACCGACATCTAGTGCCATTTGAGATGCCTGCCCTATAGTATTTTCCTTAAAGAGGTATCCATAAGGGCACATATCTTCTCTATATACAGTGTTATATCTACAAATCTGTCTGCATCGTGTTGGATAACGCATGGCATTTCAAATAGCATTAAGCCCCATGTGTAAGAAGCTTTGGACTCAGCCCAGTTCTGTCTCTCTTTACAGCCCAAGTGCTCAGCATAAATGTTAGAATAAATGTTCTCTACATATCTCCAGGTCCACCTGAACAACCTTCAAAGTGCTTCTGAACAGGAGAGGGGAAGAGAACACGAGTGAGCATTCAACACAAGGGCGATGTGTCTCAGAAGAAAGAATAGTCACAACATTCCAGCTGTTCATGAGTTTATTCTTATCTCTTCTCCTCTGTAGGTTCCCTTGATGGGAGACGGGCCAGCAACATAACAGTTTTGCCACACAATTAAAGATAAAATTCAGTGCTGTCCTGACAAATTGACCCAAAGGATCACTAAGAATTACTATTCAGGAAATGTCCAAATCTCCCTCTAGATTACAGTGTTTCAGGACCAGGAACATGCCAAAAAGGGATGCATGAACCATGGTGCTTCCAAGACCACTTATCATCTCACTCCAATGCTAATCTTTGTAAGCACAGCATAAATTTTCTCTGGCCCTTACCTGCAGAAAACCTTAGGATTTCTCCCATATACTATTACAAAGAGACTATTTATTCATAAGTTAAGTAGGGCTGGTATTTTAATACCTAAACCTGGGTAAACTGTACCACCCAACCAATCCAGACCAGGAAAAAAAATAAAGAGAATTTATAAGTTGATAGCTTGAAAATATGCCTACTTAAGCTAAAATACTGTCAGAAAAATTTAAAATTATTTTATTGGACCATTGTGATGTCAAGAAAATATGTTAAAGACAAAAGCACAGCATTTAATTGCTTGGCTTCCTGTCTACAGACAATGGTTATGAGAAAGGGTAGCTTTCATTAAAGAGAAAAAGGTTTAGTACCTTCTCCTACCTGTACATGCAATGACTATACAAAATAATCATATGACATAACCAATAACAAGTCAGAAAAAATAATGAATTACAGCATTACAATCTATGAAAAAACCCCAAACTGATATATATTTATTTATTTGTACTTCCTCCCACCTCCTCACTTCCAGTTTCCTCTAAATTCTAATTCTCCAGCTCCCTTTCACAGGGATTGAATTTTTGTTTTATAAGGGATTTATTATGAGACATACCAGCTTTTATCACATAAATTATTTTAAAATTAACATTAAAATCTGAGTTGACTAACAAACATCAGATGCTAAATGACTTCAGAAAAGTGAAAGTTCCAGTTACTGAGCTAAAAATATAGGAAATTGAGCTATTTATAGGCCTTAAATGATAAGGATTTTATTGGTGGAAGGGAAGGAGACTTCTGCTCTGAAAAAAGGCTTTATGAAAACTTTAATAATGAATAAAAAAAAATCAAGAGCTTTGTAATTTGTTCAGTAGTTCAGAAAACCAAACTACACATGGTAAACTTTAAATACATTTGAAGGTCCTGCTCTTTATTTGAGAAGTGAGATTTGAAATTCAAAATTTCCTGGACAAGAAGGTTTTAATAGCATTATAAAAGTAAGAAGTGAAAAAGGAAGAAGAAATGCCTTGACAACTCTACAAGTGGAAAACAAAGAGCTGAGAAATCCTGAAACAGTTTAAGCTTATTATAACAGCCAACTCTGTAATATCTATAAAGTGCTGCCAGTATACTTTCATATTAACACATTGCATATCTAGAATGGGGCAGATAAACCCTGGATTAGGTATATTCAGAATTCTTCCAAAATCAAAGAAAGTTTTTTACGTAAGAAAAATATCTTGTAACTTACCATTTACAAAACAGTTCATATGTAATGCAAGTTCAGTGCTCAGTACTTAAAAAAATATGGTATTTCAAAAGTAAAAGGTGTAGGTCAATGATTTATGGTTTCATGAGATATCTAAAATTCTTTGGAAATTATAACCTATAATAGTAGTTGCAAAATTGCTGATTTAAGATTACCTTCCAGATTTTAAAACCCCATTCTAAAGACAGATATTGTTGAAGATTTAAGCACATATGGCAATTCAAGAATTCTTTTTTAGGCAAATCCTAATTTTTTATTTACACAAATAGACGGTAACTTTAGCCCTTTGAAGATAAATTTTCAAGTGTTAATTGAGCTTAAGCAGATACAGTCCTGCCTCCCTAAGACTGCTGACAGGTGCAAGGCCAGCAGGGAAAAACGACTAGTTCTCATTGCAGCTATTTAAAAAACACAAGACTCAATACATAAATGGGTATGCATGAAATTTGCTCCTTTTGCTATTTCTATTTCCGAAATATCAGAGTAACAGATGACTAGGTGGCTTAAAACACATCAGAAATATCAGATACTCTGACAGGCAGTCAGAACGAGGTGAAAAAATATCCCTATTAGGGATATTGCCCTACAGGCAAAAAAGTTTGGTTTGAGACTAGATCATTAAGTATCTTTCTGATCAGAGAAAACAGACTAGAGAACATCATTGTGTATCATTGACCTAAAATGTTTTATTTCAAGTAATGTTGAAGCTGAAGTCCTTGAAACAATGCATTATTGTGGAATTCTACCAGGACAAAAAATATAAGTAAAAAGGTGAGAGGGGACCACAGCCTTAAAAAATAAAAAAAATATTATGAAAATAAACACTACAGTAATGTTTTATTAATTTCCTTTGTAATGCTGATATCTTTCTGTGGATCCAGAAATACTTTCTGCCCAAGCTCATGGAAGGCAGGGAAAAGGAGTTTTCTATGGATCTATCTAAACCGTATCTCTATTATGCATTCAAATTATCTCCTGCATTAAAAAAAAAAAAAAAAAAAAAAAAGAATTACTAACATTTTTGTTTGTAGCAGAATAAATGCGGTATTTGAATTAATGTAGACTATGTATTTTCTTCAGATTTTCTAGAAAGCAAAATAAGCATGTTTCCAGTATTTTTTTAACAACAGGAATGTTGTTTTAAAGTTACTCCACAGTGATAAGCAAATCTGGATTAATGTATCAGCATGCCTGAAGAAGAAAATACTAGATGATTTTTACCTCCTCCCACACACAACTAATGCCTACTATATTTTCAAAAAATGCACATGAAGACTAAGTATAGAAAAATGTGCCAACATTCCTCACCAAAAATAGGCAAAGAATGGGAAGATTAAATTTTAAGAGCAAACAGGGTATACCAGCTGTTCAGGATTTAGAAAGGGAACCCTTCCAGTCCTTGGGACAAAATGCTTCACTTCTGTGTAGAGGAAGATTGAGAAGAACCAAGAGTTAAGCTAGGTTACTTAGCAAGAGACCCTCCACTCTTAACACAAGGTATGTAACCTGCTGACCTCTGCTACAGGGACTGTCAAGTTGTAGACTAGACAGATAGCCTAAAACAAATCCTGTCTAAAGCAAGAAAAGGTTTACTACTGGCTTAAAATACATCTATTTTCTTTCTGCTTGCCAGAGAAAGAGGTACCTGAAGGGTACTTGAGATATTTTTTGCATTTTATATATATTTCGATTGTTTTAACAGTTGGGTGAAGTGTTTGGAAAATGGATTTTTGCTGACAAAAAAGTGGCAATGTCTAGTGTCATGGTATATATAGTGGGGAAAAACCTATGCCAATTCCAGAGAGCTGAAATGGAAAAGTTAGAAAATTCCCAAAACACCATTAAATATTTACACACAGTAATATTGCAGACAAACCAAAAGAAATGAGGGATTCCCACTACCCTCTTTTAAGGTATTCCTACTATGGAAAATCACTTTGGCAATATGCAATAACATTATGCATAAAATACCATTACATTATCACATGCAATAGCCATGAAGTTTTGCGTGCCATTTACGTAATGAAAAATGCAATTTCAAAGTGTAGCCACAAATTTGCAGTTTGCTTTTGGCCTTCCTGCTTTAGTGTCTCATCTGCATCTCCAGACCTAATGGAGTGTGTTCAGAAGTTTCTGATATGGCAAGAAAGTTAAGTGACCCTCATGGCATGGCTGCAAGCAGAGCAGCCTGTCCCATGGGGCTCCTCTGTGCCTCCACCACCACGGCTGTACAGACAGCAGATTTACACGAGCTCAGGGCGTGCTCTACTAATCCTCTACTCTCAACTTTAATTTGTAACAGAGCAATCATCTCAGACCTGTCCCAAGCCAGGTCATTGCCTCTACAGAAGAATGCCCTTCTCCAAATGTTATCTGCATATGGTACTATTGTAATTCCACAAATAATGCAGTTGTTTATGTCTGGATACATGATCAGGTCAACTGGATGCCACAAACAATTTATAAACAGTTTCAGGTGCTTGCTTTATGGAATGATGCAGGGGTCACAAGAAAAAAGGGCACAAAAGGTGACTAGTTATTTTATTCTAGAAGTAGAATCTCTTCCTATTACTTAGTAAAAGAATTAATTCTTTCAGGTATTTCAATGAGCTGAAAGCGCATATATCTGAACTGTCATTATGGTAAACTAGAGCAAAATAGTTAAAACACAGACTTTTTTATTTAAGATTAATTTATTCTAAATTTACCCAATGTGGTCCATTGTCCAGAAGCTGACAGCAACTTTAAACTGGAGTTCACACTTTGGTCATTAAAAAATGCCTATAATATTCAAATAAGAGAATACAAGTTAATGAAATGAAACAGAAAATCATCAATCATAGTGTCTTGGATACTTTCAATCCAAATTGTAAGGCTCCAATTAGTAAGCAGATTCCGTATCAGACCAGTTTGTGTACTAAATATCACACCACCAAATCCATGTTTGTAACTCAGTGTAACCAGTATATTTTATACATAGAAGGCATCTTCAGGTGCATATTTATGTATGTAGTATTCAATTCTTATAGTAAAGCAGTTTTAGTCCAAGAACACACAAAAATGTATGAAATTCACAGAGGTACAAAAAACTGAAGATGAAAGGTCTATCTCTGCAAACAAGGTCATTGAAGTTAAAAACTAAATGCCAAGTATAATTTTAAAATTTAAATAAATTTGAAGCTTGGAGAAGTGTAGAGACACACAAAAATTATTAAACAGATACAGAGGAGATTCGTAAGTTATTGAAGGGATGAAGGATATATTCCACAATAAGATTTGAAGAATTCAATCTTATTGATTTATCAGTTAAAAGGAGACATCCATAGTAACGCTGATTCGTGGCAAGTTTCCAAGATAGATACGCCAACTAAGAAAACCCACACTTATAGAGTGAATAAGCACTGAAGAAACTGCTAAGAAAATGAAATTATGGATCTTTCAATTTCTGTATCACTAAATTCCTTTATCACCCTTCTGGGATACACAGAGATCAGACATTACATGTAATGGTCCTTTTTTCCCAATTATTTCACAGCTTTTCAGATTTCATAACTTCACAGTGATATCTTTACATTTTTAATTCAAAAGAGACAAGCATTGAGAGGGTAAATGGGTATTCTGTAAACTTCAATAATTTGAAATGTTTATCAGTGGAAGATGAAATAAATATTGGTGCATTTCTGTGTGAATGTCTTTCAGATATAAAGAGGCTGAATTCTTTATCCAGGATAACAATATAAAATAGACACACAAGCTATCAAAAAGTTGTTTTTAAAACAACAGATGTAAAAATCACATAGTTTTTAAAACCACAGGTTTGGGTTTTTTCTGTCTGCAAACAGATGAAGAGATTTGACTTTGCAGACAACAGAAATGGATGACACAAAATCAGCAAGAAATTTGAGTCTCAAAAAGCTGGGAGTTCAAAATTCTAGTATAAAGCAATGGCATCCAATAAATTTCAGAAGTTTTATTTCCAGGTATGTGGTGCGCATGCGCATCTAATTGCACTGTGAATTTACTGTGGGAAATTTACTGATAGCTATGAGCTGTACACTGTTCGAAGTCTCACACTAGATGGACTTCCCAATATGAAACCCTGCAGCCAAGATCAGCATCCAGTTCAGATTTCCATTCTTGGGAATCCTGAAAGGCTAAAATGTTCCCTCTTAAAGCAGAGTAACATTAGTACAGAGTAAAATATTTTTACTGGACAATACAGTCAACCCACAAAGTCAGAGATTTGAGCACCACACCAAAGTCACCTGCTTTCAAGGAGACAGTGAGCAGGCCAATAGCATTCAACACTGCTAATGTTGAATATAATTTCATAGTGGGGAGAATCAACTTAAAATACAAAGGATTTAGAACTACCATAAGAAACTCATCCTTTTGATAGGGCTTAAACTGCTGGTCAAAACTGAACGCTTGTGCTGTGATCCTGCCTTGCATGGACCTGAAATGAAAAAATGAGATTAAATATTCTGAAGACATACATAATACCCTATTTTGACCAATTATACTTTGGTTTTTCATCCTCATTCTCAGTTAAAAGCGCCTCCAACCCTCCGTTGGAGGGCTCGAGGTGCGCCGGAGCCCCGCTGCGAAGTGAAATAGATCTGGCCTCACTGTGGGAGGCCAGGACAGACCCTCACACCGCACAAGGCGCGGTTTGCCTGCCCGGAAAATATCAAGGGAACTTCACGTGAAGGGGCTGCAGGGAATAAATGAGGGAAAAGAAAAAAAAAAAAAAAAAAGAGAAATAGACGCGGACCCGCCGCCACCAGAGCAGGCGTCCTGTGGGCGCGGCAATGGCTGCAGCCCTCAGCACGGCCCGCCCGTTCCCCCGCCGCCCCTAGGCAGAGACAACCCGCAGCGGGCGCTGCCCCCACCATTTGAGGAGTCGGTGGGCGATGTCCCTGTCCTGCAGGCAAGAGAAGCTTTTCTGCGGCAGCGCTCGGAACACCACCGGCGCCGCGCCGCTCCCCCGCTCCGCGGACATCTTCCCGCGGCCCGCGGTTGCCGTGGGGACAGCGCCGCTCCGGCGCTCGGCCCGGCCCCGCTCCGAGCGTTCTGCCGCCCGGGAGGGCCGGCCGACTCGGCTGCACGCTTTCCTCTTCGTTGTTTGCCTACAAAATCCCTTCATTCAACACCAACCTTCTCCCCTCTCCCCTCTCTTCCTGTCTCTGCGCCAGGAAAACTCAGGCTTGCCCCGCAGGCCGAGGCAGGGGCTGCCATTGCTGCCCTTGCCGGGGCCTCCCCAGTGCCGTAACACCAAAACTAGCTAGGAAAAGGCCAAAGTTATGAATTCTAAGCTTCTAGCGAACCAGGGCTGCTGTTTGCTTCCCAAGGGGCAAAGCCGTTTGGGAACATCAAAGCCGTGCTTTCAAACTCTTCCCAGTCGAAATTAAAGGAAAGACCATTGTTACTTCAGGAAATTATTTCCTCAAGTCTAGTAAAGCAAGGGACACCTTGCACAAGTTGGGGGATTTCCTGCCCCTTGCAGGGAAAGCAGTGAGAATTTAAGGCTGCTGTGCATTTCATGCTATTTCCTTCAGCAGCCTACCCTGTCCAAAGCCTGTCCTTGCTTAGCCACAAATTTCCAAAACTGTAATTTTCCCATTAATCTCAGGCTTAGCAGCTTTCCCACGTCTAGTAAGTTTGGCAGTGCTTCTGTTGATTTCTAATTATACAAAAAAAAATAATAATTAAAAAAATTTTAAATTAAGCTGGCCCACATCTTTGATTAGAAGTCAAAACTGCCGGCACACATCACCTAGTCTCATTGGCCTCTAAAAGGCTTCCAAAGATTTGACTTCTGAGACATCATCAAACAGGCTTGTACCAAAGGAATTCAGAATAAATTGATATAATAAGCCTGTTAAGAAGCCCTATATTAACACAGTTTCAGTAGAATTAATTGCTTACTACATACTCACTAGATTTTCTAACAGTGCAGTGGGCTGCAGTTCAGCAGCCCAAGTTGCTGTATAGGAGCTATGTATGTGAGATTTAAGGAGCCATTCCCCTATATTTTCTCCATTCTGTTTTCTCCAAGTGTTTTGCAACACACTTCCGTGTTTTTTTCCCCCAATAAATTTTGCTCACACCCAAGCAGTGAGGGAAAATAAAGCTACGGTATACTTCAAGATGTTAAATGGCTAAAGATTTTTTTAATGGTAGCTCAAGAGGGGATAAAGAAAAAGTGTGCCTTTCTTCTCAGTGTTTAAATGCAATGTAAAGTGGTAGCATGTGATACAAATTATTATAAACTTCTTCTCAACAAGTTCCCACCTACTCTAGCACTATCCCATCTGTTAAATTCCTCTTGCCACTAATATTATTAGCCAGTGATTAAATAGCCAAAGTGAAAGAACTGGTTTGGGCAGGGAGTGATGTGTGGCAACAACTACCAAACACATAAATTTTTAATTTCAAGTTGTGTGGACTCAAATGCAGGATTTAAAAACCAAACAAACAAAAGACTGAAACTTTAGGTCTTTATGGAAAAATAATTCCACTGACAGTAAGGATTTTATCTGATTAAAGTGTTGAATCAACTAGCATATGCTCAAAACCCCACAGAAATCTTGAGTGTTTAAACACTCTGATGAATCAGGAGTAAGGAAATGAGCAAGGACTTCAGGACTGACCCAGAGGGATCAGAACAGGAAACTCTGAACTATGGAATTAATTTCTTTAATGTTGTGCCATTTACCTATCATAGATTATGATTCAGTAGTTCCAGTTTAAGCAGTGCACAATAATAAAAGTTAAATTGGGACTTTCAGTTTAAACACTGACCTCAGTATCCTCTGATGTCATGAACAACAGCCATGTTTATGGCTGTTGAAGAAAGTCAGGCACAGTACTCTTTTAAACACAGACATTGAACTTGGTTTTTTAAAATGTTGAGGATTTTATCATCTCACAGAATACATTTGGAGGGTGGAAGATGCATCTTCTGTGAAATGAAGTCTGATAAGTATATACTGTTAAGCAATAGTAGTCACTCCCTTTTAAGCAGACGAATTTTCATCATTGTTTGCTTTTCACTTATTTTCTTATGTGTGATTTTGAAGAGTTTTACAGTGCTGAATAAACTGTGGGCCTTAAGTGCAAAGCAAACAAACCAGCCTTTCCATGGCAAACAAAAATCAAATTACAGAGGACCAGCCCTGTTGTACCTCTGCAAAGTGCATCAGTCTTTAAGGCAAAGGTCAGCTGGTGACAGAGGAGCAGCCTGTTCGAGTTGGACTAGTAGTGAAGAACCTGAATGGCAGCACCTCCCTCCCCCCTGCAGAAGTCTTCAGCATCACTGAGGGATAGTTAAGCCATGCAAATTAGCCAAATGGAGGAGGAAGGGGGTAATTATCAGTCTATATATTAATTTGTGACATAAATTAGTCTTTCCAGTGTTAAAATACTGTGCGGTAAGTCTGATGGAGAGCGAATTAAAGTTCTGATCCTGCATCCAGTCTGTAATGAGGAATAGAACCACCCAGCATAGAAGGCACTGTACATTGCAGTGAAGTTCAGTTCCTGCAGAAGATTTATGGGGTATCAATGTCCAATTCTAGGCACTTGCACTGATAAGAGATTCCAGGTTCAAGTCAAATAAAAAGCCAAATAAAGCCAAATAAAAATGTATCTTAAACAGTGAATAGAAGTCTGTGGTATATATGAATTTCCCCCTTTCTCCACCACCACCCCAAGGGTTACTCTTCAGTAATTCAAGCTTGCAGGGCAGGAGTCATTGTCTACTTCAGAGTCAGACTCTAGATCCCAGATGAGGGCAGGAATTAACATCTCTACTTGCTCTGCTTTTTTCTTTTAAAACACAACCTACTGGAGACCTTATACAGGAAGATGAAGATCAGGATTTTACCATCTTGAGGAAGTCCAAGCTCAAAGCTTTTATATCTCAAGTGCCTTGACTGCTAGGGCTGTTGTCACATCCTGAGTTAGCCTGCTGCTGTCCTAGCAAGTGTATTGCTGAATCAGTGTCAGGACCCTACAGAGACTCAGCAGCCACTTTTTCCTAGTGGTAGGCCTGCTGCACAGCTAACTCTGCTGTGACCTTGGATCATACAGCTGGGTGGGACAGAAGTGTAAGGCACCTCAATGGGACCCTAATCCTCTTAGCTTGGGAGCTGCATTTCAGCCCCAGCTGTTGCCCCAGCTTCTTGTTGGAGCTGCATGGACAGCATGCTTGTACCTGGCCATAAACCCACCAGTCCCGGGCCTGACCTCAGATTCAACTTGTGTCATCCCTTTGGACTGGTCTGATGATCTGGACTTGTGTTTGAACATGGTCACTGTCACCAGACCTGCTTTGCTGGTTAGGGTGCTGTGGGATGGGGCTGTGTCAGGGAGGGCACTGCCCTACCAACTTCACTGTCACTCTTGGCTGCCAGCTCAGCTGATTTTACAGAGCAACTCCCTCTTACAGCTGCCTGACATTCAGTGTGTGGTTAAAAGGTTGTTATATTTATGGCAGATTTGTCCATCTTGTCTGTCTTAGTTTAATCAGCTTCATATATCTGAGTGACTGCTCCATTAACAACCTCTGCTTCCAGAGGCTGTGTGGTACATTGCTATATACATGCACTCCAGCCTATTTGAATAAAGCCTAATGAGGCTTAATTCAAAAAGTAATGTATATATCTAACATGTAATGTGTATATCTAAAATATGGATAATTTACAATTAGCATCTTAAAAAGTATTTATAAATAAGTAGTAAATAAAAAATGTGAGGTTTAATACGTACAGTAATAGGTATAATGGTAAAATATAATAATATGAGTTTAGGTATCAAAGCAACAAGCATTGCAACATCTAGATTTTCTTTGGTCCTCAAGAAAGAGACGTGAGATGCTGAAGATGCACAGTTAGAATTAGAGTAAGGCCCAGGAAACTCAACACAGTATGTGAAACCATCCAGGTCTATTCTCCTTCTCCAAGAGGGAAAGGAAGAGTATTCACACACTTGAGTCTCATCTCTCAATTGCAGTGTATATACTCTCCTGGAGATTCATTGCCTTCTTTGAAGGTTGATGTCTAAACACTTTCTCTAAATCAGATATGGGTTGCTGTTACTTTTAAAACAAGCAGAGGAAAAAAAAAAGGTTTCTGAGCTGCTAATCCTCTTTTCAAGCAGTACATGAGTTTATAATATACACAACAACTGAAATGCCCAGTTTTAAATTCACCTTATGTTTTGAGAGTTCAGTAGCATACCCCATTTCTTCTAGGCCCACAAGCCAAACATATACTTGTGTACACAGTTTACCTGCAAAGTTTACATACAAAAGCTTACAAGATGTCTGGGTAGTTGTGTCTCAGAAACTGCTTTGCTGTGTAGAAAATAATATTTTACTGTGGTAGTTGGAAAACATAAACATGAATTTGTATCTATAATTTCTTTGTTAAGGACTTTATGAAGGAGGGGACAACTCTGGGGCCTGTTTGAGTTCCAAAAGACTCTTTATTAGTTGGATTTAGGACTGCAAATTCTTCAGAAATTCTATTTTTAAATGTTTTTTACTTATTCTGGCTAATGTTTTCCCTTATTATTTGTGTAGCCATACTTCAAGGTGTTTTGTTAAAAATTCCTTTAAAGTATAACACTTTATCTCCCTGTATGTGCCTAAGCACAGCTGAACCAGGCTACTGCATGTGCTGTTTTTCTCTGGACAGTGATCTGGGTGTTTGTAGGAGTGACAGAAGGTCTGGGTGCTGGAAGTGTGATTCAGTTGCTTGAGCTTTTTATCTGCCACTCAAGGAGGCTGGAACATCTTCATGTGTCAGATATGACACAACACCT